GAGGGGGTATAATATAATCTGATTTATTGCCAATGAAGGAAGAAGATAACAAACGGAATGAAATAAAATTAAAAAGTGCAAGGAGAGGGAAAAGAATGAAAATAAAGAGGAGTTAGGAAAAAAGAAAGAATACGATCTGTAGGAAGAAGAAGAAGAAGAAGACGAAGAAGAAGAAGAAGAAATGACAAGAGAGTGAAGAAGGAAAATAAGTAAATGGAGGAAGGCAAAAGGAGATGAAAAGTTAGGAAAAAAAGGGTAAAAAGAACTCAAAGGAAAATAGAAAGGAATAAGAATGAGATAGAGAAAAGGGAATGATAACAAAACCAATAAAAATGCACGGAAAGAATGCAATAACTTTCCTTTACGGAGATCTCAAAGTCTTATAAATTTACAATAATTGACTCCGGGTGCAACTTTTTACTGGCTATATTCAATGAAACTGGCTGCTATGTTTTCTCCCGTAAATTTGATTCTTCTGCTTCACTTATTATTATACGGTTCTTTAGCTCTGCTGCCTTCCTGAGAAATGTGTACAAGTTGAAATTCAGTATATACCGTGTGTCTGTCTCCTCAGTGAAAGGGATATAACACGTGTCTCTCTGTTTATTTCTCAGTGAAGATATAACACGTGTTCCTTTTGTTTATCTCTCTCAGTGAAGGGATATAACACGTGTCTCTCTTTTCTTTTTATCTCTCAGTGAGGGAATATAACACGTGTCTCTGTTTATCTTCAGTGAGGAATATAACACGTGTCTCTGTTTATCTCTCAGTGAGGGAATATAACACGTGTCTCTGTCTGTCTCTCAGTGAGGAATATAACACGTGTCTCTAATTATCTCCAGTGAGGGAATATAACACGTGTCTCTTCTCTCTGTATATCTCTCAGTGAGGGAATATAACACGTGCCTTTCTCTCTGTTTATCTCTCAGTGAAGGAATATAACACGTGTCTTCTCTGTTTATCTCTCAGTGAAGGGAATATAACACGTGCTCCCTCTCTGTTTATCTCTCAGTGAGGAATATAACACGTGTCTCTAATTATCTCTCGTGAAGGTCCTGCACATCTCTCTCCGTCTTTGTCTCTCTGCTTCTTCTTCTGTCACACACGCATTTAACTTCTCTCAGACATCGCCATCTTCCTTTCCCATTTACTCTCTCTCTCTCTCTCTTCCATTCATTCTCAGTTCCACCAGATGTCTTTTCTCTCGATCTTCTATCTCCTCATACAGGCCAAACTCATTTACATATTTTCCCTTTTACCCATTTATCTCCTCCTTCTCCATCTTTCGTACACACATACTTCTCTTCCACCCGTCTTCTCTCTTCCCCATACACTATATCAATTAAATTCATTTTCCTTATGTCTCTTCTCTCACCACACACCTCACCCTCGCCACACATCTCACCCCAACACACACCACTCTCACCACACACTACCCCATCCCGCCACACTGCCCTCACCTCTCACACTACTCCCACCCCGCCACACACACCACCCCACACACCACCTCACCCGCCACACCACTCCACCTGCCACACCACCCCCACCGCCACACTACCCTCACCTGCCACACCACCTCACCCGCCACATTACCTCACCCAACACACCACTCCCCACCTCACACACTCCACACATCTCCCCTACCCCAACACACCACCCCACCTCACACACCACCCTCACCCTCACCTCACTGCCACCACTACCTCGCCACACTACTCTCACCTCGCCACACACCTCACCTCGCCACACTACTCCACTCCCCCACCCCTGCCACACACCCCTCACCCGCCACACCACCTCACCGACACACACTCACCTCGCCACACACATTCTCACCTCAACACACCACCACCTGCCACACCACTTCCTCACCTCGCCATTACCCCACCTCACACTAGTGGGGTGGTGAGTTCTGTGCTGTGCATCCTTGGGCATTCTCTGGAGGCAAGTGTGTCAACCCGGCCAAATTAGTAGACATACTTGAATTATATATACAAAAGGACATTTATTCACCCCACCCCACACACACACACACACACACACACACACACACACACACACACACACACACACACACACATACACTTTGACACCCAGTACACAAGCAGATAAACATACACGCAAATACACAGACACCCCTGAAACACACAGGGTATAGAACACGTGTACCACCTGTGTGTGTGTGTGTGTGTCTGTGTCCCTGCGGTGTCATCACTCTCCCACACGTCATCTTTATCGCCGTCCCTGGTCCCCACATCTAATCACCAGCTACAATGGCTCCTTGTTGCTAAAATTCCTTTTTATTTATGACTCTCACAACGCCTAGCTCGGCTCTGCTATAGTGGGAGAATTTGGGGAGGCTTCCTTCGGTTAAATTTTTCGGATGAGGTGAAGATCAAGCACCGTAGATTATTTCACCTGATGATTCAACACCCTGACGCTACCTGGAGACTTAGAGGTCAGGTTAGGTTAGGTTAAGTTAGGATGTTTAAACGTCAAGTGAAATACAGTAATCTGGGGTTGGCAAAATCTTCACGTGATCCGCCTTTCATGATCTGACTTATGGATTATTTTCGCGTATGAGGAACGATACTTCATAAGGCTTAACACAACCAAGGACAAAATCTTAGCCAGTTATTAACATAAGTGTCCGTCTATTTCCGGGTAACTCTTATAATTTCACTCTAAAAGGACGTGTTGGATTTTTTTCCCCTTTGTTTGGAAATAATGACCTACATCATTATCCCGCACCCATTGTCTTGTGTGGAAGTTGAGCCTAAATCCTGTTCTTTCTTACATCTCAAAGACCAAAGTCAATTTTTTTAAACGATTTGATCTTTCATTCATGTTTTCCAAAATTTACAGCTCTGTGTGTGTGTGTGTGTGTGTGTGTGTGTGTGTGTGTGTGTGTGTGTGCTTCGATAGTTTTAGGTTGGTACAAAGTTGGTTGAGTTGGATGGTATAACATTGAGATATTTGGCTAATGTATTCAAAGTGTGGCGAGGTGAGGGTAGTGTGGCGAGGTGAGGGTAGTGTGGTGAGGTGAGGGTAGTGTGGTGAGGGTAGTGTAGTGTGGTGAGGGTAGTGTGGTGAGGGTTGTGTGGTGAGGTGAGGGTAGTGTAGTGAGGTGAGGGTAGTGTGGTGAGGGTAGTGTGGTACGGGAGTAAGAGCCACATATTTTAGTAACTCTCATTAGAAGAAGAAGCATATTTTCTGTTGATCAGTCACTCAAAAAACTATCTGTATATACTTAATGGTGTCGATGAATTCCAGAATGAACACTACGAGTCCTGTTGTCTCGGTAGGGTTGTCAGAAGAATTCGTTCGTTGTGTCATATTTTTTCAACACAATTTTGTATATTTTTTTTTGAGTGACTGTACCTTTATGTCTATGTACCATACAGTTATATAAACATGACAGTATTATTAGAAGTGAATCTATAATTGTGAAAATCATTATTACTAATTTTATTATCCATATTATCATAATTCATCACTATGTGTCAATTTACTTGACTCAATAAGTTTATAACGTAAAGTACGGTGAAACACGAGCTGGTGTCCTGCAAGGGGAGCTCATGGCAGGTAGTCGAAGGAGAGTAATGAACGATACAACACAATATACCAAAACTGTCAAGTGCTCCTAAAGGTGTCGTAATACATTCATAACGGGTGGTGGTGAAACGGCTTTAGCCAACAGTGATAATAAGCGTCGGTTCAGGTGGTGGTTGTATGCCATTTGTCACGAGGAATTCTAGTTTGATATGTAACTGTTGCAAGTGTATATAATACATCTTCTTGGCTTATCTCATTACCTCTCTTTTCTTCCTCTCTCTCTTTCGTTTTCTTTCTCTTCCTCTTCATGTATCCCTATTCTTGTCTTCCCTCCTCCTCGCTGGGTTGGTAGGCAGCGGCGGCGGGGACTGTGAGAGCGTTATTGTGAGTGAGGTGGGCGAGGGTGAGAGTAGGCCACTGTGTCTTGTAATATTGATCTTGCCCTGGACGGTGACGCCGGAGATGTACCTCCTATCCCCCCCCCCTCCTCCTCCTCATCTCCACGTTTTATCGTCTTCCTCCTCCGTCCTTTCATGTGTCTCTAAATCTTTATTATTATCCTTCTTCTCCTCCTCTTCCTTTTCCTCCCTTCAATGTGTCTCGTATTTTAGTCGTCTTCCTCTTCTGTCCTTTCATGTGTCTCTATATCTTTATTATTATCCTCCTTCTCCTGTTCCTTCCTTCAATGTGTCTCCTCCTTCTCCTCCTCTTCCTTCCTTGAATGTGTCTCTTCCTTCTCCTCCTCCCTACAATGTGGCTCCACTTTTAATCGTCTTCCACCGCCTGCCTTTCATTTGTGTCTCTCCCTTTATTATCCTCCTTCTCTTCCTTCCTTCAACGTGTCTCCTCCTTTATTGCCTTCCTCTACCACCAACAGGAACAGCTGACTATTATGTTTATTCTCCATATATATATATTATTTTTTTCCTTTATTTACACAACTATTACTCATCTTGCTGAAGACTATACTCCACCTCATCCTCACCCTTCTTCCACCTCCCTCCCCTCCTCCCTCATCCCCCCTCCCTGCCCCATCCCCCCCCTCATTCCCTTCCCATCCTCCCACTCAACCTTTATATTACCTTAGCATTCAACACCACTTTCCCATCCACCCCTTCTATACACCACTCACTACCCCCACACCATACCCTGCCCCACACACACCATTTCCTCCCACACCTCCTCCTCCACCATTCACTCCCCCCCACTCCTCACTCCCCCAACACCCCTCACTTCCCCACACCATTTCCTTCCCAACACCAAGCACCCCCACCACTCCCCACCCCCACCACTCCAGCACCGTTCATACTAAATAGCAAATCACTCCCAGTAGATCACACTGACTAAATTCACTCCTTAGAGAAGTATAAACTGTAAACCCCTTTCTTAATTCTTAATATAAAGTGTCTAGTGAAGAAACTGTGTCTCTGTGTTTGTTTTTAAAGACCGTAACCTCTAAAAACACTTGGATACAGTATAACAACGACACCAATAACAACGACAACATCAAGATCATCAACATCGAGATCATCAACATCAAGATCATCAACATCAAGACCATCAACATCAAGATCAAGATCATCAACATCAAGATCATCAACATCAAGATCATCAACATCAAGACCATCAACATCAAGACCATCAACATCAAGACCATCAACATCAAGACCATCAACATCAAGATCATCAACATCAAGAACATCAACATCAAGAGCATCAACATCATGGTCATCAACATCAAGGTCATCAACATCAAGGTCATCAACATCAACATCAAGATCACCAACATCAAGAACACCAACATCAAGGTCATCAAGATCATCAACATCAAGATCATCAACATCAAGGTCATCAAGATCATCAACATCAAGAACACCAACATCAAGGTCATCAAGATCATCAACATCAAGAACACCAACATCAATCATCAAGATCATCAACATCAAAACACCAACATCAAGTCATCAAGATCATCAACATCAAGATCATCAACATCAAGGTCATCAAGATCATCAACATCAAGAACACCAACATCAAGGTCATCAAGATCATCAACATCAAGGTCATCAAGATCATCAACATCAAGATCATCAACATCAAAGGTCATCAAGATCATCAACATCAAGGTCATCACATCAACATCAAGGTCATCACATCAAGAACACCAACATCAGGTCATCAAGAACACCAACATCAAGGTCATCAAGATCATCAACATCAAGAACACCAACATCAAGGTCATCAACATCAAGAACACCAACATCAAGGTCATCAACATCAAGAACACCAACATCAAGGTCATCAAGATCATCAACATCAAGGTCATCAACATCAAGGTCATCAACATCAAGAACACCAACATCAAGGTCATCAAGAACACCAACATCAAGGTCATCAAGATCATCAACATCAAGGTCATCAACATCAAGAACACCAACATCAAGGTCATCAACATCAAGGTCATCAACATCAAGAACACCAACATCAAGGTCATCAACATCAAGGTCATCAACATCAAGGTCATCAACATCAAGGTCATCAACATCAAGGTCATCAACATTGTCATGCGCTGGGCCTCCCGCACAACCCATCCCAAATGTTTGTTTACGGTAGAGATAAGGTAACCCGCCAGCCATAACTGGGACATATGTTTTCCATTAGTGGTATGTTAGCCAGCCGATAGGTCAGTGAGACAGTGGTGTACTGTTCATCACTTCACGCCTCAAAAAACCTGTTTGCTACAAGAGCACTCCAGGCCGGCCTAATAGATCTAAACGATTAATTCTCCAGGTTGACAAACTCTCCCTTATAACTTACGGTACTGTGGCGTGAATGTGAGTGACTGACCTATCCATGCAAATTATAAGTCCAGTGTATGGAATTGTGCCAAATAAACGTAATTGCAATTATCTGCCCGTATCTGTGATCCCTCTATTATTATTATTACCAAGGGTAATGACTGATTGGTTATGACAAAGTATAACCAATAACTTAGATGGATGTTGGAAGTTAATGGAATTCATTAAATCATCATTTATCAAGTACAAAACGCATTGAATGCCGGAAGCAGAGTGAAATTCTACGTAGTGATACACCATAATCTCCTGGGTGAGTAACCAGTGTGAAGGTATCCGAGTTCTACGGTAAGAAAACCACTTTCCTGCATTTAAAACGTAACAAACATCAAGAACTTCAATATCAAGAACATGAACAACAAGAACGTCAACATCAAGATCACCAACATCAAGATCATCAACATCAAGAACTTCAACATCAAGAACTTCAACATCAAGAGCATCAACAATATCAACAACACCAACATCAAAATCGACAACAATATCACCAACAACAGTAACACCAATAATAACGATAACAACAACTCTCTCTCTACACACACACACACACACACACTACCAAGCACTGGAAAGGTTTGGCAGTGGATTACTGCACCACCCTCGCCACCTCCTGCCCCCCACCCAACTCGTGCAGTCCGCCACTACAACAAAATACAGCCCATAAGAGCCCGCACCGATAGATATAAGAACAGCACCATCCCATCTATTGCTAAAATAATAATCAACTCCTGATTTATGTACTGTACAGCCCTGTAAATGTATTCAATGCATATTATATCATTATGTCTAAATCAAATGTAAGTCTGTATATTTTCAGCCACCGGCTGCAACTCTATTAATAATCCGTTCATTATTATTATTATTACACACACACACACACACACACACAGGACTGTATCGGTGTCACGACTCAGTGTAAGGCAGTAGCAGGTATACAGTGTTATTAGGTGTTGACTATATTAGGTTAGGTTAGGTTCGGTTAGGTTCGGTTAGGTTAGGTGCAGTTAAGCTAGGTTGGTTAAGTTAGGATAGGTTAGCTTAGAGCAAAGTAAGGTACAAGGTTGGTTTGGTTAAGTTAGTTCAAGTTCAAGTTAAGTTAGGTCAAGTTCAGGTTAAGTTCAAGATAGGTTCAAGTTAAGTTAGATTAGGTCAAGTAAAGTTAAGTTCAAGTTAGGTTAGGTCAAGTTAGGTTAGATCAAGGTAAGTAAGGTACACGGTTGGTCCCCAGATCACAGATGGCCTTCACTCGAGACTCCGCCTCGGGGGTCCAAAGTGGTGACGTCACGCGCAAATGTTGCTTAATTAATGAGTTCACAAGCGAATGTCGGCAACTGGCTGACGTCACGAGATAATACTGACAGATTCTCTCATTGACAGGAGACTTTCTGGCTGATTTTAGGGGATTACTGACAGACTTCAGAGGATTCATGACTGATTTTAGGAGACTTCTGGCTGACTTCCCGATTTCTGACTGATTATAGAGGATTCTGAAGTAATTTTAGATGTCTGACTGACTTTTTAAGAGATTTATAACTGATTTTCAGACACTTCAGGGCTGGTTTTCTTTTTGGGGGTCTGACATTTCCTTTTTTGAGCTGACACCCTCCCTTCTTTTTCGATTTGATACCTATTAAATTTTCGGGCTGACACCTTTTCCTTTTTGGGGCTGACACCTTTCCTTTTTAGGGGCTGACATCTTTCCTTTTTAGGGGCTGACATCTTTCCTTTTTTTGGGGCTGACACAGTTGATGAAGTTCACCTGACGGATATAGCCTCAGATGACCTATATCGCTAGCATCAAGGCCAAAGTGATGATGTCACATATTGAACGCTCCGTGACGTTACAAGCAACAGATTTAGTGGTGGTGATGGTGGTAAATTAATGATGCAGATGGTGTTGGTATTAGTGATAACTTTATCGTGTCTGGTGGTGGTGGTGTTGGTATTGGTGATGATTCTCTGCTGGTAGTGATGGTGGTGATGGTTGTGACGATAAATTGGTAAAAACAGTGATGGTGGTGGTGTTGGAATTGGTGATGATTTTCTGCTGGTAGTGATGGTGGTGATAATGATAGAAACAGTGATGGTGGTGATGGTGCTTGTGGTATTGGTGATGATTTCATGGTGGTGGTGGTGCTGGTGGTGATGATTGTATGGTGCCGGTGGTGATGGTAGTGGTGATGGTTTTATGGGGCTAGTGGTGATGGTGGTGGTAATGATTTCATGGTGCTGGTGGTGATGGTGATCATTTTATGGTGCTGGTGGTGGTAATGATTTCATGGTGCTGGTGGTGATGGTGATCATTTTATGGTGCTGGTGGTGATGGTGGTGGTAATGATTTCATGGTGCTGGTGATGATGAACACAGATAAATCCATCTTTATAAAACGAATAAAACAAACACCTCTGATCAACAAACACGGGCCATGTGTAAGTCATCAAGAAGAAAAACAAACAGACTGTCCCTCTAAACAAAACAAGCAACCAGAGTTAGTCAACATAAGCGTCTTGTCTCAGGCTATACAGGGGGTGAGGGTGAACAGGGGGTGACAGGGTGAGGGTGAACAGGGGTGACGGGTGAGGAGGTGAACAGGGGGGGGGTGAGGGGTGAACAGAGGGTAAAAGTATTAGTTTTTATTAAAGTCGGAAATCTCAAACAATGCCTTAAAGGGAAGGAAGGAAGGAAGGAAGGAAGGGAGGGAGGGAGGAAGGAAGGAGGTGCGGTAGTACAGGTCAAGAGCAGGGAAGGACAGCAATAGATGGTATATATTAAACAGGATAGATAGACAGATAGATAGATAGAAAGATAGATAAATAAATAAAGGTAGATAGATACAGACATTTAATCAGTAAAATCGTCACATAAGTTCACATTGGTTCAGCACATACCGGTACCCACAGTCCAAGGAGTACCACATACTGACGACTATACTAGAGTGAGTGAATCAAGGAGACACTTTCTAGGGGTGACGTCTCTCATAATACCAGTCATGGGGAGATATGACCCGTCTAGTCTCTCTGCAGTGTGTATGTGTGTGTGTGTATACGGATCCCAATCTGTTAACACTGGGCCGACATGTTTATAGGATGCTGGTATAAACACACAGCCTTACTAACGACTCCTCTAGTCATCTCTACGGGGGCGTCACTGTTTTATTGTTATTACCTCGCATAACGCTATTAATTTTTAAACAAACAAATCCGTTAATGAAAAGTATAAATATATTTTCGTTATAATTATTTTGGCTGCCACCAACGTGTACTGTATGTAGGAAGCAAACGCTTGATCTACTGACACAAACTCGGCCTTGAAAAATTCCATGTCATTTATTTAGGTGTCACCGTAAAGGTAACAATTCCTACTTCACTGTAATAATGAAACAATAAAATACAATAAATAAAAAGTTAACGTGGGGGGGGGGAGGGGGTGACATTATAAGGATGACAGCCCACGCTCAGATGCACAAGCATGTACATTGTACAGTATATCAATCACTCAAGCTGCCGCCATCCTCTTGTCTCAGACTTGGAGACCAGGACCCTCCACTCCAAATGTTGTCGGGTTGCCTTTACCAATCGCCCCGGTATTTTGTATCGCCCTGAGGGTTTACATTTTAGTTTCATTCATATCTTCTTTCAGTCTCTGTCTGTCCCTAGCCCTCCTACCCTTTATCTTCACCAATATCACCTACTGTGTACAAACTGAAAGACGGAACACTGGTAGTGATAGGAGGCCCTGAACCTGTGTAAGTGATCAGGACACACTGGCGTGGGTACAGCACATCAGGGCCAACGTGGCCGCAAGAGAGCATTTCACCTTAAAATTGAGAATGCTGGGGCCGTCAGTAGCCATCTTGGGGCGCTGTGGTGCTTCCGAAGCCCTATCGGCAGCATTACGGCGGTATAGCGAGGCAATATGAGTACTCAGAGGCTCTTTCCAAAGCCCAACTGGTGGGGGAGAGGACGGGTCAGTTGCAAGTATCTGAGCGGAGAGGCCAGTTAAAATGAGTGATGGACTTTACCTCACATGAGAGGATCGAGTCTCCAGAATTCAGTTCAATAATCTATAGGTTTTTGAGGCCTTTAATGAGTACGATAACTTATCCCCCTCAGTAAAATGTCATCTCACACGAGCGAATACGCCATCATGTTCAAAGGGTTCGGTCAGTATTTACATACGGAGTTACGAGACTTTTTCCTCAGTGGGGTAATTCATTGTACGCAGGAGGTTATCATTGTAATCCTGGAGTTAAGCATTATCAATTCGCTTCTTTTACTGACTGTTTATTATAAATTATTCGTCGTACTTGTACAGTTTCGGAAATGTGTTTCTCCGCCTCCTGTGGTAACCAGTGTCTCCAAACGACAACGTTGCAGTAATAGTATCACTGTTTATGAATGAATGGGTATTGGTCGTGTAACGACGGACGTACAGGTAATTGGTGAATCGGTTTGCAATAGGTCATATAGGTTGGCCACCTGGAGACATGTGTTCCTACACAGGGGGTGTAGGAACACATTACTGCAATTGTACAGTTCTTGATTTTACGAATAAAGACATTACTATTATCATATAACACTATATGACATAACTGTTAGGAGCATGATGCTTTACACCCTATTACTGTGAAGCATGACACACTTATAAGGACGATCTGTTATTTTAAGCTCCCTAAGTTACTCATGACCAACCAGCAATATATCACGAGCACATTATATACCAACTACAATATGGACAGACGATATTAGTTAGCTCAGGGATGCTCAGTGGCTGGGAGGGCTAACAGCAACATTGTGCGGACACATGAGGGAAGGTCGTCCTCCAGCAGTGACCTGACGTAGGCTGATAATGATAATAATGACCACAGGAGCACAGTTTAGGATTTATGGCTCCTTCAGCAGCCAGGCACCGATCATGTGTTAACGGACACCAATACGCAACCTTCTGGCGGTGCAGGTCTTCTTGAATTCCCTTTGCAATATCGGGGAGCCTTCCAACATCGGGAAATATGCATGAGGTCAAGTGTGTTGACCGCAATATTCCACCCCGCTGCTGGCTACCTCCACGTCGATGACTTTTTCCCCTTTACCATCACCCCTTTAACTAAATTGATATTCACTGCATGATCGTGTTGATTGCCTCCCATGAATTAATATTTCCTATAATATTTATTTAGATCACCTGAAAATTAAACACCCTAGCTTACATATCACCTTAAGATTAACCACCCTAACGCTAACCTAACATAACCAAACATAATCGGCCATAACCTAACCCCACAAGGTAGAATTAGGGTGGTTATTCTTTAGGTGAAATAAGCTAGTGTGTTTAATCTTCAGGTGATCCATTAATCTCAGGTATGGGCGACAGAAAATTCAATAGAATATCAAGACTCTCCTGTCACCATCTGTCACATTCGTTCTCTGTCACCTGTGGAAGAGATGTGTTATGTGTTCCCCTTCAACCACTCGACCCCAAGACTTCCTGCGGTTTACCCCTGTCGCTTCATACATCACTTACTAGAGTTGGTTATTTCAACATCAGTGGCACAAAGTCCCTCAAACATCTCAATTTCTACAACAGAGGTACAACTTTCCTCTAACTTTCTACAACAAAGGTACAACTGTCATCGCACTTTCTACAAAAAGGTACAACTGTCAACGCACTTTCTACAACAAAGGTACAACTTTCCTCTCACTTTCTACAACAAAGGTACAACTTTCCTCTCACTTTCTACAACAAAGGTACAACTTTCCTCTCAGGACAGGAAACGTGGTTACAGGACAGGAAACAGCGAGTGAGCATGATATGACACTAAGTCCCATTGAAGACGTCACAAGTGGAGTTCCCAAGGCTCAGTACTTGGACCATTATTATTATTATATACATAAACGACATAGATATCAGCAACATAATTAAATTTGCTGATGACACTAAAATAGGACGTGTTATTAAATCAGACGAGGACTCAGCAAAACTAGGAAGATCTAAACAAATTTTTTGAATGGTCTGAAAAATGGCAGATGAAATTCAACGTGGACAAATGTAAAGTACTCAGTATAGGAGATGTAAACAGAAACCAGATACAGATGAACAACGTTGCCATGGAAATCCGACTGCGAGAGAGATTTAGGTATATTGTAGGGCCTTAGCCAGTAAACAATTGTTTTTGCTCGTAACAAGGCTAATAAGTACTTGGGTTCATACAAGGAGTGTTAGTTACAAGACTACATCGAGGTCATCTTAAACTGTATCTTGCTCTTGTGAGACCACACCTGGATTGACAGTTCAGTTCTGGTCACCGTATTACAGAATGGATATAGAATCCTTGGAAAGAATTCAGAGGAGAATGACAAGGACTAATACTAGTGCCGGTGAGACTGGTTAAAGCATCTTAATTTGCACTCCATAGAAGCGAGAGCGAGGGCGA